TTTTTCTCTAGTTTTGTTCTTAATGCAATACATTGATTTTTCAAAATCTAACTGAATGTGTAAAAGTCAGAAAATAGCTAGGTTATAAGTTATCTACATCATTTTATACGTTTGATGATTAATACGTATTTAACCAATAGCGTTCTAAGATGAATATCATAGAAAGAAATATATATACTATACTAGATTTTTGTTTTCTTCTACTTGATTGTATTGGAAACATTTCTTTAGTGGATGTTTTTCGTAGTGACCATCCATGCAACGTAGTAATTTTCGATTTATTTAAATATTGGCGATAAAGAAGTAATGAATATCTAAGCTATACGCCTACACCTAAGCACACAAATTAGAAATTATATAAAGAGCATCTCATTATCTCACAATAAATATCTTCTCCATATAATATTAACTATTTTAATATAATTTTTAAATATTCAAATTTTGATTATAAAATGAACCAATTATAAGTAAATATGTGAAAATGAGCATTTCACGATTTTTTGTTGAATATTTTAAACAAAAACTCTTGTTCTCTCATTTTTTTCAACTTTTCATCTATAAAATGTATATAATTTTTTGAAAATTAGCAATGACGACAGTGCTCTAGAAATAGATACAAAGGGAGTTTTTTGAGGAAATAATATTAGGTATAGATATAGATAATAGATCGACAATAGAAAGCGAAGATTCAGATGATAGTGCCTTGTTGGTTGTGGAAATGATGTGGAATGGAACAAAACTGACAGCTCAAATACAGTGATGAACGATTCTTTCCCATTAAACTTTCATTCAATTCATTTCTTGTTTTGTTCCGTTTTATATATTTCTTGTTTCTTGTGTGGAAATTTCTTGGTTTTTCAAAAATAAGTATTTATATAATACGATGCCTTCTAAGAAAGATGTAATGATGTTTGATCGATGTTTCTTTCCGAGGGAGCGCCACTGACTTATGATGTATTTGTTACTTATCCAATTGAAAAATAGCCTAAAGAAAAAAAAAAGGTATATTTGTAACTTGTGGCTGGATACAAAGTGGAAACATGTCCAAGTGTGTTCCTCTTTACAGACCCAAAACTATATTTAGTCTTGGTCGTCAGTTTGTTAATGTTTTGCACTGGTAAGCCGCTGAAAATATTACCTAAAATGTTAACATTGCTCTTAAAGTCGAATCCCCATTTTTTATTAGTACAATAAAACCTCTATAAATTAATACTCGATAAATTAATATACACTAAATATCTCTATAAAATAATACTCTCTCCGTTTCATTTTAGTTGTCATTCTAGGTTTTTACACACAGATTAAGGAAATATTTAATTTTACATATTTATAATATAAAAACACAATTACCTATACACCTAACCACTTTTCAACCAATAGAAAAATAAAATATTATATAAAACTAATAAATTTTGCCTCGAAACTCTAAAACGACACTTAATTTGTGACAAAAAAATAAGTCTAGAATGACAACAAAATTTTATTTTTTTATTAATCTAGAATGACATATATTCTAAAACGGAGGGAGTATAATTTTCTAATCCTAAATTGAATTTTTGGTTTGATTAGTATATCGATAAATTAATATCTTTTTAAATTAATAAAAAATAAAATTTTGTTGTAATCGGAGATCTTGATGTTTTTTGGTTCTGGATTACGATATTCCATCTTGTAAGTAATTTACTTAGATATCTTTAATAATTTGATTTTAATTGAGTCCATGCTACCAAAAGCCATAACTCGTAAATGAGTATTAAAATGACAAAAATATTGGAGATTTCCAGCTACTATAATCGAATTTGAGTTGTATGGACGAGATAAAATCAGACAAGGTGGAGCCGCTGAGTTATGACCGAGAAACATAACAATGTTCGAACTTTTACCAAAAAAACACTAATTTGTTCAAGTAGTTCAAATGCATTTATTAATTTGTAAATTTTATTACGCCAAAAGCAAAATGACTGCGGAATAAGGGCATCTCCTCACATGTAGAGGTCGGCCACCACCATTCCATATTCCAATAAATTGATTACTAAATTGATTATAATTTTGACAAATCAAATACTATGGTATTTTATTTTCTTTTAAAATATATACTTTAATTAAGAAATATAAAAACATATTCAAACAGATTTGGTCGACTGATAAGGGCACAAAGATCTGTTTATAACATTATATGATAATTAAGTCTTTGATTCATGTGGATTTTGTATGATCTTATAATTATTCGTTTTGCGATTAGAATTATTCCTATTTGTGAGGAGATTAACAGAGGCCAAATGATATCTGCTTTGGGACATCTAGTACATGTAAATAACTAGAATAGGTATGCAACAAAAGATATATACATGTCATAGCTCACTAATATGTCATGTAAAAACATAAATAGTATATATATACAACAGAATCACTTGCACGTCTTTTGGAATTCAATTATTCGAATACTTACGTAAGATTATGAATGCTTCTATCTCTCTGATTTTGCTTCATTTAATATCATGAGGTAGTGAGCTAGGCACATTTTGTATCCGTTTCCTTACCAGTACCATGACATATTTAGGACACTTTCACTTTCTATGTACTCGCCATCTTTTTGACGCAAAAGGACGACCACAGATCTAATACTACCTGATATATGATTATAATCCATCGCCATTTGAATAATTTACATTACCATTTTCATCATAGGTAATATAAGATGACCGTATAATTGACATTTTGTGTTCTTTGTAAAAAGAAAAAATCGTATGGAAAAACAGATATTCGTGAGTGGAGACTGCGGAGTAGGACGTTCAAACACTATGGCGTGTACAAAAGACTGATTTATTGTGTATCTTATACGAACTATAATCACACGCTGCATCAACACAATGTGTTATAGGTCACTCTGAAGATGCTAATTAAATAGGATATATAGTCAGGTTCATTAAGGTTTCGCCCTTTTTTTCTTGACGATTTCTCAACAATTTATATGTAATAGATTTGGGACTTGTGGGAGAATAAAGGTACTACGGTGTAAGAAAATAGAATGATGTCATATATGAGCTGTAACTTGTGAGATAATAGACACTGACAGCCCATACAACCAATATCTAATTCTAGTTTTAGTTTCTTGTTCAAAAATGTCGTCTTACCATTTACTTTCATGAACAAAATTTTCAAATATAGACTCAATTCAACCTACTATATCGTGAAGTAACTACCCGTAAAGTAGATGATGAATTCTCCTATGTGTAGTTATTTCACTTTACTTGCCATTTTTTTATATTAATAATACTAT